ATTATTAATGATTCGCTTTTAGAGAAATTCAAATCAAAATATTAAATTAAACATTGTCGTGAGTCGAGACTCATGTCTTCTATTAACTTTTACCTCAAGAAAACAATGTTAGGAATGACATTACAGTACCTTTTGGTGACAGGTGGCGCTATTAAATGAGAAAAAAAAAATGTTACAATTAAAATGATCAAAATAAAATAACAGTGTGAGGAACGAAATCGCGATGGGTGGTCTTCTCCTTTTTGTGATTGGTGGCACTAATATAGGGGATATATTTTTTTTAAATTATCGTTTCCATAGGGAGAAAGTGTTTTTAAATTATGAATAATATGAATTAATATGCATAATATATATGAATTAATATAATTTTTACAGTGGGAAGACTGGAATAAGCATCACATACTACCAGACTTTCAAGTCTTTTCAAACTCGCACAGAAAAAAATATGCCTCATTGCTTGGAAGACGCCTGACAAATAAAACAAAGTGTGTTCTAAAATCTGCTCAAAACTTGATGATTGAAAATATGAAAAGCAAAACATCTGTAAAACATCTGCTGTCACAGTTGTAAACACAACGGCTTTCTTCTTTCACGAAGGATTTTGGCGTCACGGCATTTGTTTCCAGGCGGGCCAATAAAGAACGCGTCACACACTTCTCCTGGACATCTTGTAGAATTCAGCCAATCAGATCGCGACTTCAAAACTCCTGAAGTGCTGAGAAATTCCTGAATGCTCAGAAATTATAATGTCAAGATATTTAAAGCATTCTGGCTTGTCTATTTGTCCCCTATTCTGTGAGAGCAGTGTGTGGAGGTATGGGAGGGGGGGTGTGTTTTTTTTTTTTTTTTTCTTCTCTGCGTTTTTCTTAATGTCCAAGTATGTTTCTTTATCTATTTGCCCTTATTGTTTTGAACTACAGTATTCTGCATAACTGCAGTGTGTTCATTGTCAAGCTCGAAAAATGAATCTTTAATTAATAGAAAATGTTAATAGTATTATAATAGTAAATTTTTTAGTTTATGGTCTTGTATATTTGTTATTAGATCAAATAACGTTTTAATCTGTCACATGGTCATGTTACAAACTGCTCTTAACAAATTAAAATATGTCACACCTGTGGGGCATGTTGTCACATTTCACTTCTATTCTTTCAGGGTAAATAAAGAAAAAAAGTATATACTGTAATAATAAAAAAGACTGCTTTGTACTAGACGTGTTAAAATAATGTGGGGGGAAAAAACGCTCTTATAACCCCAAGTGGATTTACACTAACTGAGAGAGTCAAAAAGTGTTAGCTTGTGTCCCGCTCTCCCCTGGAGCATTCAAGCGTTAAGAAATATTTATGGCCGGTAAATGTTTCTAATTCACCTGCTATTGGACTGTTAATTATGGATCCTGACTACAGGATCTCATCATTGATCATCATCTTGATTGAAATAGTGTTCTATAAAACCTGGTTTTATGCCAGTGTTGTTTAAAAAGGCATTACATACAATACAATATATGTAAAAAGTGCTGCTCAGAAAATCATTGTCAGAAAGAAACAAAGAAAACCGCATTTCCAGTTGAGATGAATTTAAGTGTTGTCTGCTCAGCTGATGCCACACTACAAGGCAATCTGCTGATATAAATAGATTCTGTCCCTCTATTTACATGTTTATTTCCATAAAGTCTGTCATTATGTCTTTAATTGTAAGTCAAAGCTAAGATCATTTGCTGATGGCAGACAAGAGCTAACAGGGATGTTTTGAAGACTACAGCAATTTCTCCTCGGAAATCTGGCCTCGGGGGAAAGTGTCCTCACAGCAGCATTTTTTAAGATGTCAAGAACTCCTTTTTGTGCTGTAAAAACAAATTGTGACCTAATAATGTCTCGTTGGATTAAACGACTGTCCCGTAGATGCAGATTCAACAGCCTATTAGCAAAATGACTTTCCCATCGCTTGGATGCTTCCTATTTGTTTGTTTTCACTTGCTTATCCTTATTGTCATGCTGTTTGGTTAACAGTAAACATGCATTCACAGAATATACAGTCCAGAATGAGTCTCTATAATCTCTCTCTCTATCTCTCTTCGCAGTAAGATTTGTGGCAGTAAAGTATGTGATCCTCGGCAGGAATCATCTCCTCTAACATATGGGTGTCTCTTGGTCCAAAAGGCTTCTCTGTGGGCAAGGTGGGCATCTGCTCCTTAACATTCACTGCTATTGCCTTCAGCAAGATGGACACAACAAATGCTCATCTTTACTGAGTAAGACCAAATTTACACAAAGAAATTGAAACAAGCCCTCCAGTTTGTTATCCTATCTACAGTAAATATCATGGAAACAACACAAGAAAGATAAAAAAAAAATGCAAGTCTGTAGGGAAGTTGTTGTGAATTTATCCCATTGACTTCCATTGATTGTAAGTGCGTAACTGTCAATGCTTTTACCCGAAATGACTTGCATTGCATTTAATGAATATATGTTATGCGTTCTCTGGGAATCGAACCCCATCACTTTTGGGAATGATGCCCTGGAATAAAGTGCAAAAAAATATTTGTCTTGCTTTTAAATTACTATAAATGTTGCAAAGATGTGATATTACGTAACACCATATAAAAAAATATTAGAAATATTTTTAGCTACACTATGGGTCAAAAGTTTGGGAAGCAATTGATTTTTATTATTCCACATGGATGCATTAATTGGTCAAAATGACAGCAAATACTTTTATAATATTACAAAATGCTTCCAAAATAAATGCTATCTTTATTTTCATCAAAGAATCCTGACTAGCTTTTCATTAAGCAGTGCAATCATGTCAACTATGATAATAAGAAAGGTTTCTTGGGCACCAAATCATGAATGATTTTCTGAAGAATCATGTAACTGAAACTGGAGTAATGGCTGCTGAGAACTGATTGACCTCACATTACATTACTAGCAAATACGTTCCCTTCAACAGTCCATTATTAAATTATTCCATGCTAAACAGCAGTGACACATTTTCACAGAGGGTGTGTGATGCATGTCTTTCACTCCATGTAAGTTGTCTTGTGAGGGTTTCAATGTAATCCTAGGGCAAGTGCTGCCAGAGTTTAATCAAGATGATGGCTGCCATATGTCTCAGCTTGTGTTGAGACTTCTTCCCTCGAGCTCCACGTTCTCAAGAGCATTTTGCACAGATTAGTGCAGCTTCTCTCTCTCACTCGCTCTCTCATTCATTTTTTCATTTATTCTCGCTATCAATCTCTTTTATCTCCGTCGGTTTATATCTCGTGAGAGGGAACACCCAGCCAGTTTGGTCTGGCCAAGATTGGTCAGTTTTTGCACTTGATTTTGTTGGACTCAAATCACGGTGTGTGTTTTCTGTTTTCCAAGTTTACTAGGCAGTTATTTCATCTTCTAAAATGCTTAAAGCATTTTAGAAGATGAAATGCTAAAAAAAAAAAAAAAAAAAAAAAAAAGCGAGAGCTGTCAGTCAATTTAAAATGAAATTAATTATGTGATATGCATGATGTGATTAATAAATTGAATTAATCACAATTAATCGCACACAATATATCAACATATTTTCAGGGTAAAGCCCCCAAATGACGCTATTGTCATTATAAAGTGCTGCAAAGGTTGACATATTTTTGTTGGCCTAAACCCAGAAACAAAGAGTTGGCATTTCAAAGTAAAAAAAATAAATAAATAATAATAATAAAATGTCTGAGATAAGATCTGTGGGTAACACAAGCTCAAGATATTTTCATGTTTTTGCTTTTATTCCCTATGACATAAAATACACCCCTTGTGATGTACTTGTTTTGAAAAAGGTGGTTGCTAAAAAAGTGGCTAAATGTGACTACAGTGGTTGTAAAACTGTGGGACATTTAACATCACCACATCGAACAGGTAACTCGTCTACTTACTATAGCTGACATTTACAGCTTCGTTGTGTTTATACTCACACACTTGCAAACTATCCAAACTCAAACTCTCTCTACAAGACAATTTACTTCAGTAATGTGATGTGTTTAAGAGTAAAAGTACAGGAAGGACAGTAATTGATTGGATTTTTTAAAGTTGAGCTTCCTTGTCCATCTGGAAACAATATTGTTCACAAGGCACCAAGTTTGTCAGTTTGAGGGCATCATTATCATTACAATCAGCCAACAATTAAAACGTATTACAAATAGAATGTGAAAATAAAACAAATTTATTGGCTTCTAAAAATTTTTTTTCTTCAATTTAATTATTTACTCACAATAATGGGTGATTTACTATATATATATATATATATATATATATTAGGGCTGTGCAAAAATTAATTGTGATTAATCGCATCCAAAATAAAAGTCTGTGTTTACATAATATATTTGTGTGTGCTGTATATAATTATTTTGTATATATAAATACCTATGCATGCATGTATATATTTAAGAATTATTTGAGCTTAAATTCTGTATATATTTATAAATACATAATCTATATTATATAAATATTTCATATATGAATAACACATTTTCTTAAATATATAGATGCATGTGTGTGTATTTATATATACAAAATAATTATATACAGCACACACAAATATATTATGTAAACACAGACTTTTATTTTGGATGCGATTAATCGCAATTAACTTTTGCACAGCCCTAATATATATATATATATATATATATACTCACCTGAAGGATTATCAGGAACACCATGTGTTTTACACCCTTTCGCCTTCAGATGCTGATTTAGTGCTCACAAAACATTTCTTATTATCTTTAATGTTGAACAAGTAATTCTGCTTAATATTTTTGTGGAAATTGTGGAAAAAAAATTCTGAAAAGCATTTATTTGAATATTTGTTTTTGTTTTGTAATAATGTAAACGTATGTATTTGACCATGGGGTGTGTCATGGATTATGAATTTTTTATTTAAAAAAATGTATGTTATTTTAAAAATAGTTTTAATACTGTTAAATGCAAAGCTCTTCGTGTGTGTGTGTGTGTGTGTGTGTGATCTTGCAGAGTCTGCTGAGCTATGAAGGAGGTGTTCCGGACTCTCTGCTCTCCTACAGGATGACAGCTGGTGAGGAGCCGGCCTCTCCAATGAGGAAACCAGCGACATGCAAGAGGTGAAAAAGTCTCTGTTTCCTCCTCTCTCCTCTTCCTCCACGGCCAGCTCATCTTTTGAGAAGCATTTCTTTTCACCGTGTCTTGTACAGAAGGTCATTGGCGGAGGATGTTCTGGAACAAAAATGTCAAAGACATATTATTTTTTCTCCGTCCATCATCCTTACTGTTTTTTTCTCGACGAATTATCACGAGGATAATACGTATTTGGCCACCACTCTTTTGATAAGTAAGAGAGTGCTGCTGAAGTTTGTGAATACAATAAATACAAGGAAAAACATGACAAATACACGCATGTGCATTATGCCAGTGTCCTCCGGGTTTATCTTAACCCGCTTATTATAATCACCATGGAATTACATCCACTTAGAAATGTTGCCGCATTCAGGCAAACCCACCCTTGACTTTAGTCGTACGGGTCTTCATTGTGCTTTCGCTCGTAATGTTTTCTTTTTGTAATTTCCCTTTTCATAGGATCAACTTTCACACATTTCAGTCTGTGACCAAATGAATTAACACATATTAAGGCGAAGCGTGCGAGCCTTCCTCTGTGTGCAAGTGCTGGAGGCAGATAGACACTTATCGTAAGCTCTTTACATTGCTGTATTAATTCCAGCCATTGAGGGGGGAAAACAATTTGGAGGCGTTCTTGTCTCCAGCAGACAAACTTGATGCGGAGGGCAGCATTGATCAGAAGCCAGTTGGGTCGAGACCGCTGCATTCATGTGGTTTTCCTGGCCAAATGTTATTTTTTCCATTGTGGATCACTTTTGTAAACGTGCTTTCTTTTCTGCGATAAAAAGCAAAAGTGAAAAGAAAAGGGCCGAGTTTTGCTGTGTCTCTCAGTGGGGCGGGTGCGTGGACGGGGTCTCTTCGGGCTCCGCTGGCTTCAGTTGAAGGTGGCGAGGATGTCACACGCGGGCATTGTGTCATGTAAACGTCTCTTCACTAATTAATTTCTCTCTGGGTTGCCGTGTGAAACGGCCCTGGTGTGATTCGACCCTGTGAGCTTGTGCCCATTGTCTGTAAAGTGACAGGGGAAAGTGATGTTTTAAAGAGAATACCGCAATGTCCCTCTACATGTGAGGGTCAATGACAAATAAAGATGTCCGAGATGATGAAAGGAGAAATCGCTTAAAAATCTAGTTCACAATGCATGTGCCAAATTGTTGTGAATGAATTCTCTCCTATTATTTTTTACAGTTTAAAAAATATTAATAATGATTTAAAGTGAAAAGTGATAAAATATTACACTTTTAATGCACAACACAGTATCATTATATATATAAAAAACAAAAACAAAACGTTTTTCAAATGAGAGATCATGAATTTTAATTAGGGTTACTCCGTTCGGTCATGTAAAGGTCAGAATATGTATTTTAACTCACTGACCTTGACACAGTCATAAGTCTCTACAGGGGTCCTCTCTGTGAGATCATTTCCTGTTTTATTTGTTTTGGTCACATGACGACAAAATGACTTCCTGCATGTTGGTTATACCACAGTTAATTTGATTTATAGATGTAAAATATACTATTTTATTTAACATTATAATCACATTTTAAAACTAAACCAATGGTCCCAATTTATATATAAAGTAGTGTCTTCAACTACTATGTACTTGCATAATAATTTATTGAATACAATGCACTTATTGTGTACATCCATGTTTTTACATTGCACAATGTTTTATGTAAGTACATAGTAGTTACAGACACCTTATTTAAAGTGTGACCAAAATAATAATAAAATATTAAAGTGTTGGCAAACATGTAAGTGTTAATTAGACTTTAAGCAAAAAAGAATGCAACTTTATAATTCAGAAATTTAAAACATGCTCTCCATAGACAACTTAATAGATTCAAACAAAGAAAGAGCCGCACATTACTGATCTGTAAAACGTGCTCTCTCTCTCTCTCTCTCTCTCTCTCTCTCTCTCTCTCTCTCTCTCTCTCTCTCTCTCTCTCTCTCTCTCTCTCTCTCTCTCTCTCTCTCTCTCTCTCTCTCTCTCTCTCTCTCTCTCTCTCTCTCTCTCTCTCTCTCTCTCTCTCTCTCTCTCTCTCTCTGATCTTACTGATGTAATGCATATTTTTGTGTCATGAACAATGTTTTAAACATGTTTCAGTTGTGAACATTTAAGTGTTTAAATTCACCTGAAAGTTTACCACCATACTTGAAAGCAATTTTTACCAGTATTTGATAGAGATCTACAAGGGTCATTAAGACTCCTCTGGACAATGACAATGATCATGCACAATGCAAATGTTTGCAGTTGTGCCCCCCTGACATGCAAATTGCTAGACAAAAGGTTTTCAATTATCTCAACAGCTATAAATGTATTAACTTTGTATGAAAGGTTGATGTCATTATATTTATTGTTATTATTATTACTCCCTCTCTTCCTCCCTCCCTCCCCCTGTCTGTTCTCATAAAATTCTCAGGTTGTTGACACACTTAAGACAGAAGCTCACTTTTCTTATGTTGGCAAACATGACCACCTGCCAAGTCATATTCAATAGGGAGACCTTAACCACAAATGATAATGTCTGCAATATAGAGACAATAGATAAAGAAAAATTAATACAAAGGAGCTTTCTGTTCAAGCCCTGTTTTCTTTACAACTACCTCACTGGAAGACAGGGGATAGTCCATTAGGGACACGTTGATAAGACAATATTTACTCAGGAGGAACAAGTTCAAAGAGACCATGCTTTTTAACCCTGGTCTTGAAACCGAGGACATTGAGACTGGCAGGTGTTTTTGCTGAGTTGTTCTGTGGTGATTCAAAAGATCCTTTTTTCCTCACTGGCTTTACGAGCTTGACGTCTGTGTGAACCACTATGGTTTGCATATTTGTCTTTATTTATTCAGCCTAGAGCATTAGTTATTGTGATGTTGATGGGATCTAACATATAAAAAATATTTCCAGGACGCAGTTTAGCTTTGTCTTTAACAAATAAAGAAACAACAGTGAGGGTGCGACTTAGCCCAGGGCATGGCATAAAGGAAGAGTTCCCTTAAAAATGGCATTGATAATTTGGTCATTATTTACTCACCATCTTGTAATATTGTCCTGTCATCCACCTGAACATTTGGTGAATATATATATATATATATATATATGAAAATTCTTAATGCAGATCTTTCCATACAACCACTGACTATATCTGTCAATGCCAAAAAGATAATCAAAGTGGGCCACATGACCTGTGCAGCCATACATACCATACTTTCTGTACTTTAACTTTCTGTACTCATACATTTACAATGGTGTCAATAGATGACAATTAAATAGTAATCTGCCCCTTTGCGAGACCTTGTCATATTTCGCTATTGTCTTTGATGTTGACACATTGAATTAACCAAAAATGTTAATTCTGTCATCAAATACTTACCCTTATGTCCTTCCAAGCTCATAAGACTTTCATTCATCTTCCAAACACTACTGAGATGCATGTATCTGTCCACTCCATTGAAAGTCCAAGCAGGCATTTGTTTACTCTATTTGACATGTTTATACAGTATGTGAATAAAAGTTCATCACATATCATGTCTGGGATTTAACCACTCATTTCATATCGATTATTTTGTCTTTATGAACGTTTTAAAGGATCAAAGTTTTGTTTGTGTGTATTTTCAATGGACAAACAGAAATCAGATTTCATAAAATAAATCTTCATTTGTGTTTCAAAGGTAAATGAAAGTCTTATAGATTTGGAACAACATAAAGGTTAGAAAATGGCAAACCACCCCTTTAAATTTCAGTCACATAATCGTGATTCCAGAAGACTTGGAATATTGCGCATATTGACTAATTTATAGTGCCGTTGAAGAATGGAAAGAAAATTTCTAGTTTTGTAGAAGTGTATAGCGTTGGATGACATGAATTTCATTTTAGGCAGACTTATCCCCTTAATCTGTGTCTGAATAACCTACGCTAATACGACGATTCCAGCGTTGTTCACGGCCAACAGGAAATCCAAACTGGATATTCCATCATAAATGAAGCATATCACAAATGTACAGTCTATAACCGTAATTATCATCTGTCATTCTCATGTGAGAGTTGTACATGCGCAGTGTCTTTATGGTGTGGTAATACACTAAAAGCTCCAAGGGCACGGCATCCCTGTGCAGATGTGCTCTTTCTTCCTCATTACCCATCAGTGCTCCAGCGGAGCCCTGATTCAGCCGGCCACAGCAGGCATGATATCACCCATCCTCTGCACGCGTGTGTGTGTGTGTGTCTTATCCATGTTTGTCCCTGGAACCCTTCCAAAAGTGGCTTTGCCACCCTGCTAGCCAAATAAGCAGAAGAAAGTGCAGTGTTTTTCTGCCTGGACGAACCCGACCTTTGCTTTTTCTTGTGCAAGCGAGCAAGCAGGTGACCGCTGCCCAAGTCGATCACCTCCTCCGGGTTCACTCGTGTTTACCTTCCTCGTCGCTGTCGTTCTCTTGCCTGTGGACTTTAGCGTCCTGTCGCCCTGCCAAAGCCCAGGCGCTTCCAGGGTCCCTTCTCCCGGAATCAAAAAGCAGCTAAAGAGGTTAATGCACTCAAGTAAGGATGAACAACCAGCTGTTAACGTTCTCATATTTAATACCTAACTCATCCAGAAGACATCAGGCATAGAGATGGAAGGGAGAGAGTCTGGAGCTTATGGCGCTCACATCTGCTTTGTACATTTGGGTTGGGAAGAGTATCTTAAACACTTGAGAATGACAATACCCTGAGATGAGCTGGACTTAAGCAGAGATAAAAGCAGATAATGGATGGTCAATGTAGGATGATTTGTCAAGAGATCATGAATGTCCTTTTTTAATTTTGTTTTGGTTGATGTCGCTTATTTGGTATAATAATAATAAAATAAAAAAACCATCTAAGCCAAAACAAAACATGCCCTTAAAATGTCATCAAGTCTATAATCAAACTAAGGCAAATTTCATGTCCTGTGTTTGTCCGAATGATCTCCGCCGATACGTAAGCAGTGCATCAATCCAGGTCAGATCTCCGATCTGAGACAGAGATGGAATAGAGCTGTTTTTCTAGTTAAGCAGAGGTGGAAAACAACTCTTGGATGCAGCTGTGTGCCACTGCACCACCTGCCCTTGACCCCCCAAACCTGAATGGAAAAAAAGGAGATTCTTTTTTCCAACTTTCATGTGATTCCAAACAGGAAATTTTAGGAAGGAGGTAAGAGAGGTGGAAAAATAGTTACTGTAGATTTTATTATTATTTCTTTTTTCCAGGTGGAGATTTATGACTTGATGGTGTTAGAGTCAGATAAAAAATACCTGCTTTCTTGATCATGACTACTGCTGCACTTGCAAACAATTTTGTTGTTGTTGATAAAACAAGAATAATTAATACATTTGAATCATATTAAAATCATAACTAAAGTCCTTGAATGGCGCTCATCATTGAAAGAATAGCTGTAAAGATCCTTTCACATGCTTGTCATGATTTAGGGGGTGAATAGACATGACAGCTGAGAAAAAAGCTCACACACGCAGATGCAGCCAGCACCATGCCTTTAGCCCATGACCGTCAGCTGTTTAGCAAATCTGTGATCCTGAGGGGAGTCCTGTCCATTATACATGCCACACTTAAAGGGACAATTGGCCCTTTTTTTTCATCAAGATGTCCAAGAGATTGTATGTTATTGTTGCAAAATCTAGTAAGACTTCTCCAGTGCTCAGAATGTGAAAGCTGATCTGAATACTAAACTTAATTATGCTGCCTCATTTTAGCCAATTTATAAGGCGAAATGGTGAAAGCAGTAGCCCAGTGAAAAAAAGCCATCTAAGATGATGGATGAGATGAAAAGAAAGGTTCATATTTTATCAATACTTTGTCAAAAAAAGAAAATGTTTATGGAAACATACAGTAAAAAGAAATTATATAATAGTCGTTATTTCACCCTGTATTTGTATTGGCCTATTTCTGTACGCAAAGTATTTTTTATATCTAAACTATTGCGGTGTTAGCTTAGCAGCATGCTAACAGCAAAAACTATTCGAGTCAAGCTGCCGCATGAGCGGTAACCGCTTGAAATCACGTATGAGATTCATAATGGTTAACATGCTCGCTTAGAAGGAACTCCGTTTAGTAGTATGTGCACTGCCCAGGATTTCAGTCTCATTGTCAACATCGATCCAGTGTGCTAAAACAATTGTTCTCTTAAAATTTCCCACAATGCAACACAGACCAGTTCAAGCTGACAAAAATGGAATATCAGCTCATATTTCATGATAGCACTGCGTTTTTTAACAGATACAATGAAGATACTTTAGCAAAGCAATTTATACTAAAAGGTAGACTGGGAAAAAACCCAGACAACTTCCGGCAAATTTAGATTTGCTCTGAAAGTTAGTCTGGCAAAGAGCTCATTCAAGCCCATTTCCAATCCGTCGAAATCGAGGCACCAATCAGAAACGTTGGGGCGGGCTTTACACGATGACAACAGCGCTGGGATTTTGATGCAGATTCTGTAGCCTACATTACAAAAATGGATGCCGCTGTCGAACATCACTCGTTCGAATCAGCTATCGCGTCTATTTTAAGCGATTTGAGCGTTTCCTTTTTGTTAAAAACCGAGCAAAGAACAACACTCTGAGATGTTTCTCCGCCACTCTGCAAACATCATCTCCTTCATCGCTCTGATTGGTTTTAGGTCTATCTGCGACGTCCCTCTGGAAGTGATTTGTCTATGACGCTTTGCCAGACCATAACTCAGTTACAACTGAGAATGGTCTGGTTTTAACCAGGCTAACTAAAAGGTTAAGTCATAGTGTTGCATAGCAATTTTGTTTATAAAAAAACAGTGATGTAAGTCATGTAAACATGTCGCAGGACAGCAGGTCTTCCAGTGTTAAGTCTATTGAAGCTCTTGCTAGTGCTCCCTAGGGCACACTTCATATGCACTTACAATTTTTGTATTTTATGTTTCAGAATATGCGGCCGATATGCGCCCTCAATGCGTACTTTTGCCGAGCCTGCGAGCTCTTCAGCAGACTTCTACCTGCCGGTCAAAGTGGCATTACTTCAAGAAAGTGCAGATCGTGAGGGCTCCATTTGGAACTGGGCCTTTGTGTTCACACTCTACTGATACATATAGTGTACATAGTGAACTAGGGAGTGGAGAGGCATTTTTTGGGACAGAGCTCATATTACTGTATGTGCGGATCTTAAGAAAGGGCCGCTTGATCCGTTGCGGTGGCCTTTGAATGTGTACGCTCAGATGTTTTTGGGTAGGCTACTTCAGAAGAGTCTTTGTTTGAACTAGGCTTGCAACCTAATAACTCTTATTGTGTTAAGGCAGATGCAGACGCTCACACACCCACACACACAAGGAGCTTTTGCCATTATGAACAATACACGGTCCGTTGACAAGACGAAAAGAGCCGTATGACTCTGATTCATACAGCAGTGTTTAGTGATATTTATAACCAGTTTAAGGGGTGTTTCCTCAGTTCAAACACTTTAAAAATACACTTATTATTTGCAAGGATTCAAATGGGAATACATTTTACTGCCATGTCAAAAGTCACTTACCTAACATTTTTTTGTCAAGTTAAACCCATTTACATTTTAAATAGTAATAAATAGTTTATTTTTTACAATAATAATGTATTTTAAATCATCTTTGCATCTTCACTAACATCTTTTTCTACACTCTTAGAAGAAAAGGTTCTATATAGAACCTTAAAAGGTTAATAGAACCATTTCTTCTAAGAGTGTATTGATATAATTATATCATATCATATAGAAAAAGTTGTTCATAGCATTATTATAATAACAATGTGTTTTATTTCATTTAGTTTTACATTTTAGCACTTTTAGCACACTACCACAATCTCAACTTTTTGTAAACGAACAACCCGTTTGGGAAACCCGTTTTCTTTACTTCCTCTTTTTTTCAACTTTGGTTTCTCCTGTCTTTTATGTAAATTGGTCTAGTTTGGTTTAGCATTTGGAGGACCATAGAGGTCATTTCATTGGCTGACCCTTTCTACAGGGAATAAAACAACACCGAAAACAAGGCGTGTGCCAGGGGAGCGAGGTGAGGAGGTGGGCTTCGCAATCTCAGAGGTGTGATTGAAACTTTGGCAGCAAACTGAGCCAGGTGGACACTGCAAGGCCCCCCAAGTCACCTAACAATTTTGTCACTCTTACACAGCTCCACACCCCCGCGGTATTAACCCTGCACCGCTGGTGTCAGACATTAACAGCCTTCTGATCGTCAAATTATGTGAAGGGGGGGGGGGGAAATGATTGTACAACTAGTTCTTTTCCCACCCATGTAATTGAAATCTACCTCTCGGCAAACAAAGAGAGGGCATTAGTTGTGTCCTCCCAGTGTTTAGAGGAGCCACTCAATATGTGCTGTTGGCAGAAGAATAGAATCGTTATATCACAACCTTCAGTATTCTTGGCCGTCAAACAAAAAGAGCCATGTGATTTTCTGAAGACATCCCTCATGTGACTGTGAAAAAAGAGAACACTGTGCCGGACAATGACGGACACCGGCATCTCTTCCATTCTTTTTTTTTTTTTTCTCTTTGCCTTGTTCTGCCTCTCGCTTTCGCCTCGTTCTATCTTTTTTTATCCCTCCTACGTCCTGAACAAAGGCGAGAGGCTTGGTTGAGACGATCTGTGCACAAAGCAGGAAACTTTGTGGTTCAGAAGCATGTCATATCACAAAAGGCAGGGATCAGGAGGATGTGTTGCTAGGCGCCGTGATTGTGTCAGCACTGCTGGCCAGAACATTTCCTTACAGGTGAACTTTTAAATGGAGACTGACAGATATATGCTTCCTGCTATTTTACAGAGCGGCGAAGCTCGAAGCAGCCCCCAAGATCCTTTGCATCACTCCTCGGGCCAATCATCTCTGTTTGAGGTACGTGACATAGCAAGTGCCCTCCTGTAAAATCCGTCCCCATGGGATTGCTCTGTTTCTCTGTGTTTGGGCAGCTTGGCGCGGTTCAAACTGGGTTCAGGAAAGTGCACGCATGTGAGGGTACGCGAGATCTACAGGAACCCTTTCATGTACTCGGTCAGTGTTGGAGAGTCAACCTGGCACATGAATAATTGTGATATTTTTCATCACAGGCGTCCAGTGTCATTACAAACACGCTTCCATTGTGACCCGTAAAGTTGAAAGGGCATTGCCAAATATGGTTCATGACGTATATTCCTGTGTCTGTCAGCACGTGTCGCTCTGCCCAAGTTTAATTTGACCCCTTTTGAAAACAACTAATTTCCTGTGGAATTCACATTAACTCTCCAGAATTAGGCTTGTTGATCTTTACCAAAGGTGGATGGGGTGCGGAGGAGATATTTATGTGTTTGACGTAAAACAGAAATAAAATGTTGGATTTTTTTTTTTTTTTTTTTTTTTTTTTTTAAGTGTGTGTGTGTGTGAGAGAGAGAGAAACAAGAAAGAATCAATACTGTTTTTGTATCACTGACTGATTTAAACTGACTGTCTTTTTCATATGTATTAATAAACAGTCTATAGAGCTATTCAATTATTATTTTATTATTTAGTAGCTATATATAAAAAATAAAATAAAATATATGCTCGATAAATATATTTCTGCAGATGTCACCAGTTGTTATCCCCAGCAGGGACTTCAAGCGTGGAGCAACTCTTTTTTCTTCTCCTCTGAATTGGATTTAAAGGGGTCATGAACTGGCTTTTTAAATTGTATTATATTGTTGTCTGAGGTCAACTTATGACGTTCGCTTGGTTTTTGCATTCAAAAACATCAAAATGAATAAGTAATAGGCTATTTTGTACCCAAGTTTTTAGCCTACCTTAAAAACGCTCGGTTTTTATGGGCATCTCGCTCTGAAGACTTGGAAGTAATCGCCCACTGGTGTGAGTGGATAACAGTTTTGCATATTATAATGAGTTTCAACTCACCCGTCCATACACTTGGTGGAAATTGTTTTGAAAATGTCCATTGTTGTAAAATGGCAACCGGAATGATTCGACCCAGAGTCCGTGTGTTGCACAATTCCTTTCAGATTCAATATAGACGGCACAGCACCGTTCTTTACTCTTAATCGGTCTGAAGATGTCAAAAGCTCAAGGAATTTGATTTCTCAGTTCATCACCCCTTTAAATAACATAAAATGGATTTATGAATTTGCTTATATATTGTTTGTTCTTGTTGTATACATAGATTGTATATATCAAGAACATTGTTATTTCAGGGGTCAGAACCACTTCCAGCCGCTAAAGGGTTAAAAGTACAGCTAGACTTTGCTAACTTGTTTGTCTGCCGTAGACAGAATGGAGTCTTGAAGTAATTCTTCCCAAAGTCAAACTGTTGAAAGATAATGCAACAGGGGAAATCCATAACGGCTACCCACGATTATGTATCCAGGATGTCCCATTCAGACGGACAGTGTCCTCATGGGGGGAGAGGGCGGTACAAGGAGGTGAAAGGACGTGCCAAGGTCAAATGTGTCTGTGGTCTTATTTTCTTCCTCTTTTATGGGAGCAAAACACATTCCAAACAGATGGTCTCGTCGATCGAGAAAAAAGTCTTATTGTTGCTTGTATCCTAAAGGTCCTGGGGGTCACAGTGACTGGACAAATCTGTGGGACTGGAGTGGGAACATGAATGGCGTTGACAGGTGTTTAGTGATTATGTTAAAAAAATAAATAAGCCAGTTAACTGATGTGTAAAAGCTTTTTATGCCTTCGAAATTCGTCGGGGCTTTTTTCTCTTTCTGTTTTAGCAGCTCCACGAGCTCAGCCTGAAAACAGCATCTATTCTGAGGCACTTGCCTCGACGTCAGTCAGACTATTGACGCTTTCCTGTTTGATGTCTCTCCTAGCAGTAACATCAAACAATCAACAAGCAAAACCTCTCTCAGCATTGACCGAGTGTACAAAGTATTCGTTTCATTTTTCCGAGGCACTGAAGTGCTAAACATGTTTAAAGAAACCTTCACAATGCGGCCTCCCAGGAGGTATTTCGAGGCTAAACGAGGTTAAAAGGAAGTTTTGTTGTCTCAGACAATGTTGCTATCTGTCTCAATACACGATTTCCCTTTCAGTTTGCATGTTCTTTCGCCTCCAAACAATTTTCCTTCCCCTTTCATTTTTTTCCCCGTCGCTCAGATCAGGCATAGACGGCTGTTAAGTGGCAGTCAAACCAAGAAGCACCGAGTGCAAAACCGCCGTTCAGTAAAATAACCTTGCCAAAGGGTCTTTCCCCCCACCCCTAACGCACATAGCTGGCTCCATCTTTGTGTATTGAGTGAGTTAAATCAATGGCAAAATGTTGGCACTTTACACAGGACAGTGACCAGGAAGCCCTCCCCCGTGTGATTGACACTTGAAACGTGTGCGCGGACGGAGCCAGGGGCGCTGCTCCACGCTTGAAGTCTCTGCTGGGGATAACAACTGGTGACATCTGCAGAAGGGGCCGACAGAAAGGCAGTTGAAAGCCATGTTTGTTGCCTTGGCCCGCTCAGATCTTCCTGCTTTTATGAAGCCTACCACCCCCCCAACCCCCACCCCCCTCCTCTGCTTTAATATTATGATTCAGCACCTGGCTCTTTTGAACCTTGCTTCAAAACTTCAAAAGAGGAGGGTGGCATTAAACAACATGAAATAGGTATGGAAGGGGGACGACGGCAGGGTGTTGGCAGTAAGGGCCAAGAGGGCGCGGGGACACGGGTCGGATGATTGAGGTAAAAGGAAGAAGGACGCTCCGGCGGCTTGATTTCGCTCTCATCATCTTGGCGGGTATATTTCTTTTTATTTTATTTTTTTTTTGTGGCCACCGCTTCTCTGCCATCTTTAGAGATGTGTGCCATTACCATTTTTGTAACATCAGATAGTGGTCGGGCATAATGAGGGTTTTGAATATGGGGCCGGTGGGCTAATGCACAGTTGTAGGGAAAATAGAGACAGAAACCGATAGGGGTGTGTCTGCCAAAAGCAAGTACGGGATGCCGTGTTTGTAAATGACTGAGGAAAATGGCAGTGGGAAAAAAATAATGGAATGGCGTGCTTTCGTCTCGCTGCCTTGACCATGTAGTGCTAGTAACTGCTGTTGGTTGGTGGCAAAGTGTGAGAGTCTGCTGTACGAAACTGTCCCGAACTGAGTACACTTTAAGGGCAAAGGTCACCTAGAAATACAAATTCTGTCATCATTTACAGTACTCGCCTTCCTGTCTTTCAAAACCCCCTTTAGGATTTTCAGAGGAACACAAAACAAGATATTTTACATAATGTTCATGCTGCTCTTTTCCGTACAATTAAATTGAATGGGGAACATGATTGTCAAGCAAAGTTTTTATGGCTTAAATTATGGTCTGTTCCTCACATAAAGGGATCATTCAGCTTTAGACTACACAATAGTCTTAACAAATTAAACAAATGAAATATTGATTTCATGGTTATGCATAAATTATGATAATTCAGCTTTCAAGTTTCCCACTGTGAGAAATTAAATTATTTTTTGTTGTTTTTTGGAATCCATAAAAAAGTTGGCAACACCCTAGTCCACCGGAAATGCCAATCAACAGTGAGTTCTTATTGTACACTTTTTTTTTTTACCTTTCTGCACTCATATTTTGAGTGATGCATTGCAATAAGAGAAAAGACTTAATAAAGTTAAACATGAATGACGGATGGACAGGCGTTCTTTTTTTATTTTATTTTTTTAAGGAAAACTGTTCATTTAGTGACAGATGGAACAAGTTAGGTTACCCAAAAGTCTACTATTTCGCCAGAGACTAATCTAATCTAATACATAGGAATGGATTTGAGAATTTAAATGATTTTTTTTTTTTTTAAATCATGAATCGACATATACTACTAAACTAAATACCCTGCATATTTTAACAGCATTAGCACTGGGAAGTGACTGTAAAATTAATTAAAGGCACATTATACCAGCCTCCATTCAGCCGAACTGCAAATTCTTTTGACGCCACTTACCCTTGATACTCACTTTAATAGTGATCTTTATTGTGGCAAGATCTGAAAAGTCAAAAGCAATTACTTCAGCTGAGCGCTATTAAAGGAAACTCTTTCTTTCCACCCGATCCCTGCACCTTGCTCTCAGACCTGCTGTAGCCATGACGCCCTGAGCTGACCATAAAGGCCCTGGGTAACATTGAGTCAAGGACGCTTAATGGATGCTAAAGCACAAACAACGGAGCTCCAAGCATGCCAGAGCAGACCTAACCTGGGGCACAGACATCAAAATGCAGGTTGGAGATTTGACATTCCTGCAGGCACTAAATGCCTCGCCAGTGATTTGAAAAAAAAAAAGAAAAGAAAAAAAAGAAAGGAAAAGTCAATATCCCCCTCCTGTTTCTAAACGCTCACTATCTGATGAGCACGGGTAATGCAGATCTGATTCTGCTGTGACAAAAGGGCCGCGCTAAGGACAGCCTGAAATGTCTCTCTCGCTTTTTTCCATTTCCTCTAACTCGCACACTCCCGCTCTGTGTTTGTGTGTGTGTGCGCGCTCGCACAAATGCTCACCACTCTTTGAGCCCTTTGATAATAATAACGACAGTGGGAAAGATTATCACAGTTGGCCACTCCTGAACTTCAAGGTTAAAGGAGCACTGCAATTGTGGCTTTGTGTTTACCAAAGAAAGGCTAATGATGAATTAATTAGCCATGGACTACGTTTGCTGTCTCCGCATCTATCTGAGGACCTTTCGCATCCTCTAAGTGGAAGAATGCTTTCATGAAGAAACATGAAGCACTTGTACTGTATGTAATGTGCTTAATATAAACCCCCCTTATGAATATACATTCCATAAATTAGCATGTCTTCTAATCAAATGCGCTATTAACATTCTTACCTACTTTGAGGGTTAAAGACATTGAAATGTCATGTTATTTACTAGCTTTAT